ACCATTTCCCCTACTAGCATCTCACATTTGCGTGGTATATTTATGACAACTAATGATCCAATACTGAGACATTATTATTAATAAAGTCCATAGTTTATTTAGATTTTCTTTGTTTTTGCTTAATGTCCCTTTTCTGTTAGAGGTTCCCATCCAAGACACCACATGACATTTAGTCATCATGTATCCGTAAGCTCCTCTTGGCTCCCACGGTTTCTCAAACTCTCCCTATTTTTGATGACCTAACAGTCTCCATGACTCCTGGCCGAGTGTTTTGAAGGATACCCCTCCACTGGAATTTATCGGAAGTTTTCCTCATGATTAGATTGGAGTTATATATGGGTTTTGGGGAGAGAAATCACAAGGAAAATCCCCATTTTCATTGCACCCTTTCAAGAGTGCATACTACCAACATGATTTGTGACAATTGATGTTGACCTTGACCACCTGGCCAAAATAGTCTGTTTTTATGAAGTAGTGTAAGCTTTTGTGAAGTACTAGTTGTGAGGTAGCATGATTTTGAGACCCAGGCAGAAAGAACTCAGGCCTTGGGGGATGGAATTTGTTGCTCTCTGTTCAGAATCCTACAAAACCTTTGGGCCAGCGTCACGTTGGCTCCCTGGGCAGTAAACACACCCTGCACCATGCACTCCAGACACCACTCCCTTCACAGGGCTCCGAGCAGTAGGGCCAGGAATTGCCAAGGGAATTGGCATCTCCACACCTGGAACTGAGGGGGACTGCTCTTGCTCATCCCAGGTGTCCCACCTTAGATTCTTTTACTTCCTTAATTACCACAGACATTACAGCTTAGACACTCTAGGGTTCAAGAAGACAGTGATAGGATCTTGAACTAGTTTTCATTGCAGAAAGCCTAGGGATTGCCACTTAACCCAGATAGGGTACCTGGGCTGTGGCCTACAATTGTTTCACCTTCTTTTGGTCCCTTGTTAGTTCATGCCAACCAGGACATCTCATAAGCAGGTACCGGCATCTCTGACCACAGCCTGGAAGGCTGAAAACATTCTTACCTAATACACTTGGTGGGAAGGAGGAAGTCTTGAAACCAAGAGGTGCTTGGGCTTGAGAAGCTAGGGTCGGTTTCGCAGGGCTCACATGTTGGCAGCCTGTGGGCCCTCAGGTACATCCAGCCCACAGGTAGGTTGCTATTCATTTTTTAAATTGATACACTTTACCTTTTAGAGCAGTTTTAGATTCACAGTGAGACTGAGCAAAAAGTACAGAGTTCCCATATATCCCTTGCTCCCTGCCCCACAACCTCCCCACTATCGACATCACCCCACCAGAGTGGGACATTTGTTACAATAGATGAACCTGCATGGATGCATCATTATCACGGAGAGCCCAGAGTTTACATTAAGGGGTCACTCTTGGTGGTGTATATTCTACAGGTTTGGACAAACATAAAATGACATGTGTCCATCATTATAGTATCATACAGAATAGTTTCACTGCCCTAAAACTCCTCTGTGCGCTATCTATTCCCCCTTCCCCCTCTCCCCCCAACCCTTGGCACCCACTGTTCTTCCTACTGTCTCTGTAGTTTTGTCTTGTCTTGAATGATAGTTGGAATCTTACAGTATACAGGCTTTTCAGATTGGCTTCTTACACTTAGTAATACATTTAAGAATCCTCCATGTCTTGCTGGCTTGATAGCTCATTTCTTTTTAGCACTGACTAATATTCCAGTATCTGGATGTACCACAGTTTATTTATCCATTCATCTACTGAAGGACATCTTGGTTGCTTTCTAGTTTTGACAATTATGAATATAGCTTCTATAAGCATTTGTGTGTAGCTTTTTGTGGGGATGTAAGTCTTGATATCATTTGGGCAAATACCAGGGAGTACAATTGCTGGATTCTATGGTAAGAGTATGTTCAGTTTTGAAAGAAATTGCCAAACTGTCTTCCAATGTGGCTGTACCATTTTGCATTCCCATGAACAATGAATGAGAATTCCTGTTATCCTATTAGTATGATATGACCATATTCCCCAGCCCTGCTATTTGGTCCAGGATGAGCAAGTGACCCACCCAAGGTCAATTCCAATTGTTCCCCATGAATTCAGAATTTGGAACTGCACTGATGGTTGCTGAAACCGCAAAGGCTGGCTGCTACTGGAGCCAAGTCACATGAGGATGATGCTATGAGGAGAAGGTCCTGTGAACTCCGAACATTGAAGGCCCATGGCCGCTGCAGTCTTTCTGTAACCCAATGCTTCATGTCTCTTTGAATTCTATTGGAACCCTGAAGTGTCCTTCCCCACTTTTTAATTTTTTTTATTTTTTTAAGGATTTTATTTATTCATTTGAGACACAGAGATACAGAGAGAGAGAGAGAGCATGAGCAGGGGGATAGGCAGAGGGAGAGGGAGAAGCAGGCTTCCCGCTGAGCAGGGAGCCTGATGCGGGGTTCATCCCAGGACCCTGGGATCATGACCTGAGCCGAAGGCAGACGCTTAACCATCTGAGCCACCCAGGCACCCCTCCTTCCCCACTTTTTTAAAAGCTACTCACAACCCAAAAAAATTAACTCATTCACCTTTCTATCAAATTGCCCATGAACAAACTCTCAGGTATAGGAATCAAAATGTAACAGGCCGGATAACTAGGAGACTGGGAGAATGACACAGAAATCAGGTTCTTGTAGCCAACTCTGTTATGTCAACTGAGCAGGCCCCTCTCTTCTGTTTTCAGTCTCCCTGGGAACTTTCTAGTTAGAGGTACAGGGTGTGCATGGGCGGGGGGGGGGGTTGTGTTGGGAATCTGTGAGCCCTGATATTCACAGTGGCCATCTTGGTTGTGACAAAAGAAAGCCCTGAGAAGGAGAGAAGGAGCCAACAGGCAAAGACAAGAGAGGTAGAGAAAGACTTCCAGCAGTGTCCGAGGCCTCCCTGAGTTTGGTGATGGGTGACAGTAAGTTACCCCTTTGCTTGAGCCAACCTACGTTTAGTCACTTGGCCCCAAAAGCCTTCTGGCTTCTACGGCCATTTCTAGGATGATCCCGAGGACAGGATATTTCTCACTACCATGGGAAGTGGCACATAGTAGGCACTCAATAAATGTTTGTTGAAGGACTAGAGGAATGAACAGAATATGACTGGCAGCTTCCTGCTCCTGGGGATTGGCGCCACCACACCGACTGGGCTCAGGAGGACTGGCAAAGAATGGGCAGAGAAGACCAGGGACTTTGAGAAACCTTCTTATCCCAGACTCCCTACAATTACAGAAGGTCCCAACTGGCAGCAATGCTCATCACAGTCATAGTGCGCCGAAGCAGAGATGGCCACGATGGGGGGCTATCGTGGCGATTCCTGCGGGCAGGTCGTGGTTGGACTTACTTTGTCTTGTAACGGTTGGCCAGCACCTGGCACAGTGCCTACTGCATAGCAGGTGCTCAGTACACGGTAATGAGGGCGAGAATTAGTGAGCGACGTTCATGAACTTAGCACTTCTGTGTGCTGAGCATAGCCTCACCTACAAGGCAGGGAGAAGATCCACTCCTTGTTCTTTAGTTGAAGAGCAAACTAAAAACCCAATCACCATAAAGTAATAAGTAAGGGTTAATGGGGCACCTGGGTGGCTCAGTCGTTAAGCGTCTGCCTTCGGCTCAGGTCATGATCCTGGGGTCCTGGGATCGAGCCCCGCATCAGGCTCCCTGCTCAGTGGGGAGTCTGCTTCTCCCTCTCCCACTCTCCCTGCTTGTGTTCCCTCTCTCACTGTGTCTCTCTCTGTCAAATAAATAAATAAAATCTTTAAAAAAAATAAGTAAGGGTTAAGCTGTAGAGGCTAAAGACACAATAAGAGATTGGTGTAGTCCTTCAACAGACACTGATAAAGGACTTCCTTCGTGGGTCTGGAGCTGAGCACTGGGGATTCAGATCTGAGTAGGATACTGTCATAGTAATTAGGGTCCACATGGGCAGTTCCATATAAACATTTATATTGTCATTCATTCCTTCAAGAAATCTCACCAAACTCCTGCTATGTGCCAGGCATGACGCCAGGGGCTGGCATGGTGTGATGCAATAAAGGGTGGGGCAGCTGGGGCTTTTGCGAAGGAGGGCTTTTGCTGCATCCTTGTACCATCTTGAGGAAGTGCGTCTTCCTCTTTGGGCCTTAGTTTCTCCCTCTGTAAAATTGGTGACAAGAGCAAATGATGCAAGGGCCTTTCCGTTTCTGACAACAAATTCAGATCCTCATGGGTAGAGTTCAGTTGAACTCTATCCCTCCATTTCCTCATCTGTGAAAATGGGTTTATAATGAGTAGTCCTTACTTCATTGATTTCCTGTGAGCATAAAATAGAAGAAAATATGTAAGTGACCAAGTACAGTGTCCACCCCGCCCATGCTCTCTGCTCAACAGCCTCACCATTATTATTGCTGTTACTCTGAGTCCTGCCTTGTGCCCCTCCTTGTGCAGGGCACGGAGCTAAGCATTGTGGAAAGAAGCATGAAAGACCGTCCAGGGCCTACCCCTGGGAGAGATCAGTGGAGTATGTGGAAGGAGGGATCTCAAATCCAGGGTGGGAAGGTGAGCCTGGAAGCCTGCCCTGGGGACGAGGGATCAGAGGAAGCCTCCTGGTGGGGGAGGGGCTGGGCCTTCGTCCTCCTCTTCCAGGAGCCAATGGGGGGCTGGGCTTGGCTGGGGGTGCCGAAAGGTGGCCTTGTGGGTAAGTCCTTCCAGCTGCGGACAGGTAATCCTGGGCCTTGGAGCCGGAGAGATGATACCCCCCAAGGGCCAGGCCTGGTCCCGCTCAGGATGCTTGCCCTGTGAAAATGCTCAGCAGTCCTCGCGTTTAGGAGTGCTCAGGTCCAGCATGAATCATTCCTTTTTGAACTTGTCTAAATGTGTTTATAAAATAAAGCTGCGGCCCAGGGCTGCTCCAGGCGGAGCGGGAAGGTAATATGTTTTTAATTGGAGAGATTGGGGGAAGGAGGCAGCGGGCCAGAGTGAGCTCACTCCACATGAATGCGGCTGGGCGGAGAACAATGTACGTGCACATTCCTGGACTACAGCAGGACCCACTCGGTGGGCAATCCCCGGTTGAGTGGCGGCCTCCACAAACACAGGCAGTCTGAGGTTAGCCAGGAGCCTGCATCCTGGGTGGGGGGGTGGGGGGGCGGGGGGGCGGGGTGGGGGGGCCGTCAGAAACCCTGGATCTGATGTCAGCGGGGGTCAGAGCAGGGGTTGCAAACTCCAGTGCTCCCAGGAGCCGGGCAGGAACTGGCAGCTTGCACATACCCACTGTCGACCTGGTGGATTGGAGGTGTGTGGCCATCGCCACCGCCACTCCTACGGGCCCAGCCCCATCATCAGATCTAATGATTTCTCAAGAGAAACCAGAAATGTGGACATGAAATCTCATTCTCAATGTTGGCTTTATTTGATTTTATCCCATTTTCTTTCTTCAGCTATGTGGGCCAAATCAAACAGATGTGCAAACCATATTCAGCCGTGCAGCTGCCCCCTGAAACTCATCTTTGAGATGGTGGTGTGGACCTCACTTTGTCATTTACATTTTAGTTGGTGCCATCATGACTTGAGGCAAGTTGATCAGTTTCTCTGGGCTTTGGTTTCCTCTACTAGGAATCTGGTATTTTAATGCTATTTTTGCTGATGTTTCCAATGGCTTCCAGTTGAGGATAAAGGAGGGAGCAGAGAAGGTAATATTCATGGGGTATTTGCTATGTGCGAGGCATGGTGCCAATGACTCATATGTTGTTGTTGTTTTGTTTTGTATTATTCTTTCAATCATCACAATGATTCTCCCAGCTAGATATTATTCCCCTTCTGAAGATGAGGGGACAGAAGCTTGGAGAGCTAACCTGGATTTTTAACCAGTATTTCCAACTCTTAGAACTTGGAAAATTCTCTGACCCTGTCATGGTAAGGATGGGGAAACTGAGTCAAAAGTTAATGTGACACAGCCACGCCTAGTAAAGACACTAGCTATTTTAGATTCTTGGTCAGTAATAACAATACACTTATTTAATTAGCAACATTTTTTTTTTACAATGTAAAATAGGCAGGGGGTTCAAGGGTATAGCAAGGGGGCTACTTGCCCACGCTGCTCCCATTACAAAGTGCCAACAGACAACATGGCAATACATAGTAAAAGATCCATACACTTTCAGCCCGTAATTCATCTTGAAGGACTCAGTCCTAAAGAAATCATAGAGCTGGGGCACCTGGGTGGCTCAGTCGTTAAGCATCTGCCTTCGGCTCCGGTCATGATCCCAGGGTCCTGGGATCGAGCCCCGCATCGGGCTCCCTGCTCAGCGGGAAGCCTGCTTCTCCCTCTCCCACCCCCCCTGCTTGTGTTCCTCTCTAGCTGTCTCTCTCTCTGTGTCAAATAAATAAATAAATAATCTTAAAAAAAAATCATAGAACTGTGGGCAAGGATTTTAGAAAAAAAAAGGACTCACAGAAAATCAAATGTTCATCATAAACGAAATCGTTAAGTTCTGTAATAGCCATACCAAGGAATATTAAGATAAGTGTTTAGGAAGCATATACAATAACATGAGAAAAGGCTTATGATATAATGTTAAGAAAATAGAATGCAACATTAGGTAAAAAAAAAATCTATATTATACTTAAAGAAATGCAAAGAAAGAAGAGAAAAAGGAGATCCACCCCAATGTTAATTCTCCATGTGGTAGGATTTTAATTTTCTTCATCCTTTTTTGGGGGAAATTGTTTTTGATTTTCCCTAATGAGCATATTGCATTTTATAGTTGGAAAGGTATATATTTGCAGGAGGTAATGGCCCTCATCTCAGCCAGTCTGAGAAGGGGAGAGATCTGGAGCCAGGTATCACATTTATTTTAAAAATAAAAGCCCAGAAAGAAACTCTAGAGAGAAAAATACCACAATGTAAAGTGGTTATTACTGGATGATAGGATTATGGGTGATTTTTTTTTCCTGCTACTTCTTTATACTACTATGTGTTTTTCAAACTTTCTACATCAAGATTTCTTTGAAATTGGCCAACAAACAGACAAACCATAAAACACTCCCTTGCATTTCCAGCTGTTCCAGGCAGGGAGATATTCTTGGCAGTAGAGTTGTACCAGAATCCAGGCTTTCTTCGCTCACTGCTCTCTGTCCACTCTGGGTTTTGTACCTCAACCACCGCCATCACCAATTCTGAAGGTTTTAATAACACTTGAATCCATTGAAACCTAAAGAAACATGGAATTAGGATTCTTTTTTAGTTGGTGGAAGAATGACTTGGCTCAGTTTGTTCTTGAAACCTGTTTTCTACCACCCTGCCAAGTGAATATGGCCTCTTGTTGAGAATATTTCATTGAGGCAAACATGCCTGTAATCAGGATATGACTGACCTAGAAGGCATATGTCCCTGACACAGCTTCAAGATCTGAACTGTGTTCTCACCTCCTACGCTTACCCTTTCATGGAGCTGGTCCCTCTTCTGTCTCGGAAGGCCAGAACTTCTCTCCAAGTGTCCTTGCTAAGAGTGAAGGCCTCGTATCCTGTGGTCAGAGCTGCTTGAGGTCCTTTGTGGGATTCACCACCTGAGGGAGTTTCGTCCCTGTCCAAGTCATCATCTTGCTAGTCCCCCCTGCCCTGGGTCCCCGAGATCCGCCAGTCTCTGGAGTCCGAAGACCTGGAACTGACTGATGTGAACTTGAGCCAATCACTGCCCTCCTCCTAGCCTTCCTTCCATGTCTGCAGAGGGAAGGTAGAAGCAACCAGGCCTCTTTAATCAGAGCATGAAAATAAGGCACCTTGTGATATAAAGACTTGAACACGATATAGATGAACTTTCTTCTTCCCTGTCTAGCATCTAGCGTCTTCCCTCTTTCCTGATCCAAGAGCCTTTTCTAGTCTGCTTTCGAGCATGCACTTTGGCCCATTTCAGCGGGTCTCCAAACCCTCATTGGCCTTTCCTCATAGGACTACCGTGGGAGTTCCCAGCAAGAACGCCGAGTGCACTCCTACTGGGGCCAGGCGCAGGGCATGCTTTTGTTCCATTTTATGCGGTCCTCACCATGGGGACTTCTGTGAATGGGACTCACAACCATCAGTCCCATTGTACAGGACACTGGGGCACAGACAGGTGAGGTGACAGATGTAAGTCTGTTTATGGGGTTTTGTGTTTCTTTACGTTTTCCCACCTCCATTCTGTTCAGTCTTCCTTTCCCTCCCTTCACTGAAGACTCTTCCAAGTTCACAAAAATGGAAACCTTCCTAAAAGAAGAAGGCAAACAATTGAGAAACCCCATTCTGGATCAAATCTCTGGCTATCACCCCACTTATTTAGACCCTAGTGAGTTTCTGAATATTGTGCCTAGAGTCAATTCCTCCAAAACCCAGTTAATGTAAAGTGCATGTTTACCAGGGTAACAGTGGTTCTTGATCAATGGGATGGTGTCGACTCTTTTGGAAGTTTCTAGATCCTCTTTAATATCTTTTTCTGCTTGGGGAACTCTGGGACATTTTAATATTTTTCAAAGTTCTGCATTTGTTTTGTTAGTATTTTTAAACGAATTCACCTGTCGTTCTACCTTAATTTCAAGAAAACAAGTGCATTTTAAGTTAATAACTAGGAGGCGAAGTAATGAATAACCATGGGAAGTGAGGCTCCTGGGGAAAAATGACAACCACCCTAGTGTATGACCTTGGGCAAGTTTTTGCTTAAGCCTCAGTTTCCCTCATCTGTAAAATAGGGGTAATAATTTCAAACTCATGAAGAAGTCTGATGACTAACTTCAGTGACACAATTTGTGCAAAGCACAGGGAACTCTAGTATGTAGTAAATGTTCAATTATACAACGAGAATCTCTTTCATTAGGAGAAAACAATCACAGCCTGGTACGTTTTACTGCCATTTCTGGTATCTTTGCTTCTGTTTGGCCTGGAGAAGAGAAAAGAAGCTCAGAATGGGGAGTGAAGGGAACTTGGACGTGTAAATGAGGCCCCTCCTTCCACAAATTACAAACCTGCAGTTGGACCCTTCCGTATCATACCGTGCATTGAAATGCATTCCAGATGCACTGAGGAATTGAACATCTTTAAAAATTCAAACCATAGAGGGAGAAAGACTTGAATATTTATCAGACCTCTGGGGAGAAAATGCTGGTTAAACTTAGAAGCATAAGAAAACATCACAAAGAGATGGACAGAATTGACTGCAGAAAATTTAGCACATTTGAGCATTAAAAAAGAAAGGGGAATGTATGTCGCAACAGCCAAATGACAGGCAAAGGCATCGTATCTTTATTATAGAGATTGTCGCGTGCGCATGCACATATATATGAAAAGGGATGAGAACATTATCCAGACCCTTCTCGATCGATGAACAAAGAGGCAAATAAATAATTCACAAACAAATAAATATATTTGGGGATAAAAAGGGAGAAAGCAATCTCATTGGCAATCTGAGAAATGAGTTACCACTTTCCTACCATCAGATAGTACTGATTTTCAAAATAATAAAACCTAGTGCTAAAGAGGGTGAGGTGAAATAGGCACACTCGTACACTCGTAGTAGGGATGTAAGTCAGCCCCTTTGGGGAAAAAAAATTATAGCATCAGGTGTTGTAAAAAAAATTCTCTAGTATATGGTTTGGGGGAAACTGGAGAAAAATAAAACTGGACCCCCACCTTAAAGCATACCCAAAGGTGGACTTCAAGTGGATTACACACCTACACGTAAAAGATGAAGTATAAAGCTAATTACAGAAGATGTAGGAGATATTCTCACCCTCACGTTTATTAGCCGTGTGGCCTTGGCAGGACATTTTATGCCTCTGAGCCTCAGTTTTCTTGTCTGTGAAATTAAGTATTTAAGACCCACCTTACAAGGTAATGTATATAAAACACCAGGCACGGTAGGTGTCTTTGACAAAGGTCACTGATCATTCCTTACTGCCAAGTACACGGCTTGATCCCCACTCCTGGCCTCTCTTGTGCTGGAATGGCCATGTGAGTGAGCTCTGGGTGTTGGAAAGCTAGTAAAAGTAATGAGTGCTCTTCTAGGCCTCCCATGCATAATCCCATATTCACTTTCCCCATCCACTGGTTAAATAGGGAGAATCTGGGGCCATAGAAGAGGGTAGTGTATCAGGATGAAAGGAACCCCGGGTCCCTGAATCACCACTAAGATGGCTGCTTGGCCAAAGACCCCGGATGAAACCTTATGCATAAGATACCAACTTCCATCAGGTTAAGCCACTGCAACTTGAAGATTCTCCATTAGAACAGCTAGCAATACCTATCATAACTAACAGGGTGCCGATAATTATTATGCAGTTTGACCAACAAATTCCACTTCTGGGAATCTAATGATTGGGGTTCATTAAATCTGGTTCCTGCTGTAGCCCCAGGTGGGCAGCAGTGGATTTCCTAATCCAGTCACTAATCAAAAGTGCACATTGGAAGATTTCCAGAGAAGTGGCTAATAGAAAAATGGATTCTGTTGGTTGACTTAAGGTTTTGTTCTAAATTGTTAAAGTTGGGTTTTGCCCGTTCTGAGGTTGGGATTGGCGAGAATGTTTTGACTAGACTAGACTAGAGCT